AGCTGCCTTCAATCTGCCAAATGACAAAGATACCTGCCTAGCAGTGACAGCAAATTGATAAGAGTTATATGCAAATATATATATATATCCAAAACCAAAGCAACTCTATATAGGTCTACTTTTGCACTCTCAAAACAGATCTGATGGAAAGCATGCTGGAGAAAACATTCTCTTGTCTAACTACAACTCATTTTCGGGTTTTGAGTACAATCAGAGCTTCTGCTGTTCTAAGGGAACTTTTGAGGTAGAGAGGCAGTAATACAGAGCCTTACCAACACTGCAGAAGTTTGTTTCTCTCTGTACTTCTTTTAGATGGCATACATGCACTGACATTCTGCTTCAGAAGGTGTATGTTCCAAATGAAACTCTTTTACTGTCTCATATGGATAGTACTTTTCATAGACATTATGTTAGTTTCCTAAGCAACAACGAGACCCTTTTTGAAAGGTACAAGAACTAGCAAGTTATTTTTCCAAATCATGTCAGACTGCAATTAAAAGCCCAGAGCAGGACATGGTCCAAGATTTAATTTCAGATCATTATTCTTCTGAAAGAAAAATCCCAATTCGAATAATTATAGATTATTCAGGAAACAGAAACCCTTATTGTACAGTCAATTGGGCAGCACAGAGAGTACCTTGCCTCACACGTTCACATTGTATAAATAGCTACAAGAAAATAGTACGTACTGTCCACAAATAGGGAGAGAACTCCTGAGCTGGAAATGAGTTGACCACATCTTTGCTGAAATCACAACACCAAAAGCCCACTGTAGAAGCTCCAAATGGCTCCTCCGTGACATCTACATGCTAGGTGTGATGGAACTTCCCCGCCACACCAATCCTCCACCTACTGACTCAAACCCTAGAAATGGCTGAAAAAGGTAACTATAGGCAGTGCATATTTTAGCATACTTGTACTTCTGCTGTTGTGAAAAAGAATTGATGGACTTTCAAGGAAACAAGACAACTTTCTGTATCAAGGTTTGTCCATGACATGTATGTAGTACATTCAGTAATATCTACCTACTTTGGATTAATTCTTCAAAAGGAATGTAACTGAGGAACAAAAAAGGTGCATTCATTTTTGTGGTTCTTAGAATAAGTTCTACACAAAGGTGACCACTTTTACAATAGTATTACAAATGACTTCTTATTCTACAGCTCAGATGTTAATTTATTATTTCACAATAAAGTCCACCATTTGAAGGCAGTGTTGAAATAGTCATATGAACTCCTTCAGCGTGAGATCTATTAAAGGAATCTGATGTGCAGTCAGAGACAGCTCTCATCCTATTTTAAGTGCTTTAGTCCCTGTCCAGCAAAGATACTCACATGTTTAAAAAAAGCAAATACAACTATTTTATTTGTCAAAAGGTTCTGTGTTCCTTTTAGGCCACGCCAACATCAGAAAACACTATTGTCCAACAGAAGCAATTATTACAAAAAGAAAAGTAATTGGTAGAGTTGGTCCATGCTACATACATTTCAAGAGGGTTCACTTTAGATCTAAGCACTTTATGCTATTTGAAATCCCACTTAAAGTTGGTATGCATGAGACACAGATCTTGAGTACACTGCCTGGTTTATTTGCATCAAAGATGACCCCAGTTTGCAGGCTCTTAAGTTGCTTTGTAATAGGAAGGGAAGCATAGCATGGTATACTATCAAAGCAAACAGCTGAAATGAACTGAAACACCAGTGCAGAGAGACTTTGAGCCACCGTCCTGCTGACTGTTGCACACTGAGGAAAAATCTGCAGAACAAATACAAGCAAACCACTACAAGCAGTCATTTGCAAGGAAATTAAGTCTGAAGCTTTATAGACTGTATGAAATTGTCAGTCTTAACTGGGTGTAAACTGACAATATCTAGAATCAGCTACTAGTAAGAGAGGGAGGCTACAGTGTTTTATGTGGAAAAATGAAGACTTACTAGAACTGCATAATCCAACAGTTATTTTTGTGTGAAGTCGGTCTATTTAAAATTTCACTTTTACAAACTGTTTAGTTAAACTTTAGTTAAACTGCTTCAGATGCTGTTACGGGGCACTCATATTTGGAGATTCATAACAAGCAGCAGATTCTTCCCTATATCCTTCCTGAAATACTGCTGAGGAAAGGATTCTAAGACTCAAGAATGGGTCTCCAACAGTTTTCTACTACTCTTACGAGCTCCTCAAAATTAACAGTAAATTTCAGCCACTGATTCTGTAAAATATTCTATATTCTATTTTTCTATGAACTACAGCATAGCTTGCCCTTCTATTAAACATAGCCATTAAGCATCAAGTTGCAGTTTTAAGGATGGGGATTAATACAGTTTTCACTTAGATACATGGAATTCTTTTCTGTGAAACCCTCTTACCACTCACTGAAACACCTTCTGCAGAGAAGAGTGCATAACAGTGCCCAGAATTTTCTCACAGTGTTTCAATCAAGTGTTAAAGATCCACGATCTATAGGTCCCCCTGCTGGCAGGTGCTTCACAGCTGCTAAGCTCTAAAATTACCTGTATGCATATCCAATTAATTTATGTCACAAAAGCATTTCTTTATGAGCTTCTTTCCCAACTCTCCCACTCTCTGACTTTAAAAGCTTCCTTCCATCCCCTTCCCCCTGTATAAGCAACAATCAGAACCAACAAAACCCTCTTATCAGACACATACCTCACTCAGATGCAAGGAAAAGAAAACCACCCACAGAAGATTTCAAGATCAAATAGCCAAGAATAGTGAAAACTTCTTCCATGCACCTCAGCTGTGTTCCAGTTCTGCTTACTGTATATCTATAAAGTTTACTTACTGAATTTTTAGTTTTTCTTGAGAGATTTTCTTCACAGAAAATGAGCATAAGCAGGACAAGTAGTTCAGCTGAAGTATTTGCAAAATGATTTTTCCATCGCCAAGCTGACTTTTCCAACAAAAAAATATTTAGAAATTCCAAACCTGGAAGTGTTCTTGGATCGTATTTATCAAAATGGGGCAAAGAATTTCTCAGTACAAGCAGTGTCAATTTCTTGTTTTAAATACTAAAGGAGCCACATTTCCTAATGCTTTGTGTGCTTCAGGCAGGTTCCAGAGTACAAAATGGATCCAAATAAAAGACAGTACTTTCACTGCCTTTCATTTACATGGCAGTCAGGTGCAGGATATAAGAATGATAAATCTAACAGTAAAGTGCACACTGATGTAGCTATCATATCATAGAGGGGGGAAAAAAAAAAAAGATAAGACTCTCACTAAAAAAACTTAAAACTGTAAAATGAAGTCAGATCCAGAGAGAAAGTAATAAAGAAGTGAACTTATGTGCCTGAAGCATAGCCATATCTGTGTGTTGTAAGCTCAGTGAAAGGAACTGGATTAAATAAGACCACTCTATGATTCTATCTACACATACACATAAATAGTACTCAGTGCAATTCAAAGCTAGCATTTTCACTTGTATCATTACAGAAACATTACCGTTAGTGTGTAGCAGTTTTTATTGGTGAAATTAAAATATTGTTATGTGATTTAAACAATTTTTCTGGTAACAAAATCCTTTTTCAGAACATGCGTGACAGCTGAATGCATACAGGATATGTACATATCACAAGAGGGATACTGCTAGCTAGAAATTGTGTGCACATTTCTGTCACCTGGCATACCATGTCTTGGTCAGTGTGGACCACAAAGACTTTCATAGCAATTACCCAGAATACAGGAACATTACATACACCTGCAAGGTTTTGAGCCACTGCTGCTCCTCTCTTCAGCATGGTTTGGTCTGTAAACATTTTGCTTGAAAACAGCAATTTCTCACTGTCTAGAAAGCACCTATCACTTATTTGGCATAGTTTAACATGATGATAGTAACTTTGGGTGCTACAAAGTTAGCTGTTCTTTCATCTGCGAGACCAAATCATGAGATAAAAGAAAGAACACTTGCTGAAAGTAAACCCAACAAAAAGCTTCCTATTAAGGAACAACATTGCTGGTGGGAGGAACAAAGAAAACTTTTTCCTTTTTCTTGTTAGAGCAGAATTAAGAAAATGTTTTGCCTTATTACAGAGCAGATGTAAGCTGAATCTCTCTGTGGTTATGCAAGATTGATTTTCTCACTCATATCATCACATCCTCCCCCTAGTATGTTATGATTTAAAATCAAAAATTGGCAAAACATTTTCAAAGAATCCTTCTGCTCCTGCTGTACATCCCAGAGCTGTCCACCTGCTTGCTTTTCCATGCTGCTCAAAGTGTTGGCTACAACCTGAAGGACCAGATAATCCTTGGTCACGTTTGTTACAGCAGAAACTAATTTTCTCAAAGTGTTCACCAACAGAATTGCCATAAAGAAACACAATACTTTGTACTCCACTCAAAGGTTGACTATCATATATATATATATATATATATATATATATGTATGTATGTATGTATGTATGTATGTATATTCCTTCAAACAAACTGCTGTAAACACAAAGTGAAAAGCTAATGTAAGCTTTCTGGAAATTAAGGACTAACACTACAGACATGCAGGAAGGAAGGAGGCTATGAAACAGAGATAAAAGTCCATGGGTGAACTCATTCAATGCTTCCATGTGTGCTGAGAGTTTAATTTCTTGTGTTTTGGTTAGCAATTTGCAAGGAGTAACCCTCAGTACTGGCCAACAAAGCCAATGCTGGAGATGAAAGGTTTGACAGCCAAAGCATCCAAAAGTGTGCTTTCATATCAAGGTCAGAGAAGCTTTGTTATTTTCCAGCCAAAGAGAGTATCTGCTGCATGTCTCTTTCAACTTGTGACGTAGCCTGTCCTGGCAAGCAGTCCAGGTCAGTCTCATTATAAAACACAGCTACCTCAGAGGTAATTTGCTCATTTACAGGGCCTCCAGCAGGTTGAAAGGTACCGAGCAGATCTGAATAGAGCTTTGAGCTTTAAAAAAAACTCTGCCCCTTTTCTTTCCCCTTCTTTATCTCCCTCCCTCCCTCTCTCTAAAGCAAAGCAGAATCATTTGGAAAAGATGATACCAGAAACTTTGAATCCACTGAACTACTTCACCAGCCTGGTACCAGACTTGATGCCAGCTGCCACAGTGCCTATCATCATTGTCATCTGCCTTCTGTTTCTAATATGGAACCATGAAGAAACATCATCAATTCCAGGTAAGGTAGCTCCATGATATCGCCTAACAGCTGCCAAAGTATTTCTAGAGTTTTTCAAATTTAAATGGGAAGGGAATGCTGAATAATAATTGCACACAGCAAAGCTTTCTAATAATAATGCAGACATTAAAGTAACTGATGAAAGAAATCAGGCTCTATTTAACCTTACCACTTCCCTAACAATATGGCCTAGCCATATAAATACATCATTTTTTTGCTTCTGTTGTGTATATGCTAGAAAGATACAATGTCATCTGACAAATTCTATATGTTCATATTTTCATGTGCATTATAAATTCCTACTTTTTATGTGTCGCATGCTTAAAGCTCACTGAATTATCTGCACTAGAAGCAAGAAGTACTATCACTTAGATTTTAGCAGATTTTTGTCTTTTACAGGCATTGTAGAGGCAAGGTATGCATCCTGTGAAGAAGAAAATCCTCCTTTAAAAATGATTCAATAGCCATGCTAATTCTGTAATGCTCTCTCCTTTTTGTTGTAAGGACATTCAGTGCTGACTTACTGTAGGTTCTAGCTGATAACTTTAAGTGCTTATGAATCCTTTCTTAGCTCCTATTTCAGCATGTTGTTTTCAAAAATGTACAGCACTAAAATACTCTTTCCTCTAAAATCTATTTTCTCACTCTAGTATTATTGACTAAGACAAATATAATTACATTAAGAGAGATTAAAAAAATTATACTTAATTACATAACAAGGATATTCAACTTTGTAGGTGCTATTGCCAAGATCACTCAAATGATTCATTAAAATCACAAATAAATAAGTTGAGCATTTGTTCTACATCACTTCTTTCTGGTGCCTAGCCATTGCTCATCTGGTTGTAAGCAATCTCAAAGCAATGGTTTGAAGTCACATAAAGAAATACTGAACTTTATTTGCTGTATTCACACTGAATGGCTTGTAGGTTTTCAGAGATAATAAATCAGATTCCAGCAATGCAGGTGCAAGTTTCTGTAAGACAAAACTTCACAAAGGGATTTTATGTCGTTTGCCCAGTGCAAACCTTGGCCATAATGCAAAAAGGGCAGTCTCCAGAGGGGTGATTTTTGGTGACATATTCTTGTCTGTGAACGCTGACAAGAGAAAACTTGCCTTATTTTTCCCTTAGGACCAGGATACTGCATGGGAATTGGGCCCCTCATTTCACATGGGAGATTTCTCTGGATGGGAGTAGGTAACGCCTGCAACTACTACAACAAGACATACGGAGAATTCGTGAGAGTTTGGATCAGCGGTGAAGAAACATTTATAATTAGCAAGTAAACCTTATTTTCTATCTTCAAGAAAATGAAAAAGTTGTTTCATAGATTTACAACGTTTTTCCTACTTTCTGAGGTAGAATTGAAGTAATTGCTTTACAAAATTATCATAACATAACCCTCTTATTTCCTGTTGTTCGCAGACCTTTTTCTAATCTTTTGTTTCTTTAGAGACTTGATTATTGAGGTCTCTACTAAAGACTACCACTGGATGGAGTCTCATTTTCTAAGTGGAAAAGAACATAAAGAATTATGACCCAATCCTAAAAGACACTTACAAGTTACTATTCCATTTAATATTGGGATGACACATTTCACATGAATGCTGACTGATTGACTGCCACACAGCTTTAAGCCTAATTTTAGTTTCCCGTGTTAAGATTCTCCTTAAAATGAGAACAATTCTTGAAGATTATGGCTCCGATTCAGCAAAGTAATTAAGTGAAAGCAGCATTACAGGATCATGAGTAATTCCACTCCAATTACTGAGATTACTCCTAGAATTCAATTACACACAGTACTAAAAAAAAAAAAAAAAAAAGCAGTAAAAAAAAAACAGTAGTAAAAGATTTACTATGCATAATTAATTAAAAAAAATATTAGCAATATCAATCAATGCATATTCAGCTCTCATTATGTAAAGTTTTATGAAAGACAATGCAGAAAAGACAACTCTAACAGGATTTCTCAGGAGTGCTGCTAAGAAACAAAAGCTATAGATGCATCAGACATTACAGGCCATACATCACCTTTCTTCAGGCATCTTCTGCTTAAAAGCACTGACATCACATGGAGAACTAATATCTAACTTTAAAAACAAACAAAAGCAAAAACAAAAAAAAACAACAAAAAAATCACTTTTTTATGGAGTGCTTCATAAATTCACTCCAAAACCAAACAATATTCCAACCTCTGTAAGTGTACACTCCTCCTTGGTCTGTATTTGTTTACTTGTACCACATAACATATAATCTTTACAGCACTGCTTTACTTCTTTTTGGTTAGCTTCCATTTCATCAGATTTTCATCATGTTGGCATTGCTAAAATGCTATCTCCCTCTAAAGGAAATATCTCAAAGCGATAGGGTTAGTCACAACCTGTTGGCCAACATATGTGAAAACAAACCTCGTTAAGTGTAAAAACAGAAGAACAGATGTACTGGATTCACCTATATTTCTATTTAGGAACATTCATCCTACATATCTGGCTTTAGAAAATTTTCAATTTAATATACTTTTGTATGAATAATTCCTCTTGATAATATTATGATGCTGCATAACCAAAAGTTCCAACTACATTTAGGCTTTCTGTGCGTGTCCAGGAATGGCCAAATAGCTACAGAATCATAGTTGAAGTTTAACACGCATCATGATGAAGTTATCAACTGTCTGGGTAATTTTATTCATCACAGAGAAACTGATGCCTCACAACACAAATACTAAATGCATTGAAATAAACAGAATTTGTAATCTTTAATGCCCTTGAATGAAAGTAGTAATCATACTCCCTTAAATCTGCCATATTACTGCCTTTTTCTTACTCAAGGAAGTAATAGATATCAGAACTGGAGTCAGTTGGAGTTAAGCTGTTCACGGCAAACCCCTACATACGAATTAGAAGGGTAGATGAATAGATAGATTGATTGACTAACAGATAGAGATATACCATTCTTCCCAAAATATTGGCCAAGGACTACAGAAATTGGTAGAATACAATGGATGGTACTTCTGGAAACACAGACAATCAACTGCAGTGAACGTTACCATAAAAGGAATAGAAATGTACATGGATGTAAAACACATCTTCAGTTCCGCTGCTTCATTTATTCACGGTGTGTTATTCCTCATATTTTTGCTCAATATATAACCTGCAGTTTTCTAGGGCAGTGATACTTAGCCTCTGTTATGAGCATTTGAGGGTCTTAGCAAGTCCCCTGTAGTGATTTTAAAAAGCACACATTAGCTGTTAGTAGGATTGAGTTATATATGTCCATCAAAAATACGTTAAGGAAAAATAAATCAAATATCAAATTTAAAAGAAATCAATTTAAAACCACTGATCTAATGTTAGAAGAAGAATTCCACTATATGAGAATGTACAAATCTGTCACTATTTTACATAATTTCCTAAAACATCTGATACTGGTTATTGCCTGAGTATACGTACAGATCCCTATCAGAAGTACAAGTTATAAGAGTACAAACACTATTTAAATTAAAATCTCTTGGTGACCTTTGTATTTTAACTGAAACTGTATCAGAAACTGTATTTTATCTGGTTCAAATACAGATAGAATACATTGATGCTCTAATATAAATTCTGAAGCCATTCAATCATTTTTTTAATTATGTAATGGGAGCAACATTTAATGTCAAGAATAAACTAAGAATGCAAGTCAGCCCTTCTGAGAGTATCAGAAAAACATTCTATGTATAATCTTTGAAATTGCATTTTATTCTTTTCTCCCCACTTCTCTTTCTCAGATCCTCAAGCGTATTCCACGTAATGAAACACTGGAATTACGTTTCTCGATTTGGGAGCAAGCTTGGATTACAGTGCATTGGCATGTATGAAAATGGGATTATATTTAATAACAACCCAGCACACTGGAAGGAAATCCGACCCTTCTTCACCAAAGGTAGGTCAGTGCGCATTAACACACCGTGCCACTCTATCACATGGTCTGTTTCTTTCTGAAATGTTGTGTGTCCTTTGCATAATTAAACTAGAGAGAACAGTTCTCTGTTTATGATCTCAAAACACTTTTTCACACACGTTCTTTCACATTTACTGTGCTTGTTATGGTATTTGAAAAGAAAAAAAAAATAATGCCCACAAATCAAGTGTAAAAATAATTGAAATTACTTGTAATTTCAATTACAAGTATTCACAATTATTCCAATATTCACATTAGCTCAGTAGCACTTCCATAAATGTAGTTAGCAGATTCTGTCCACGTTTCTGTCCACACTTCCTATGATATCCAGGCCTTTCGTACTTGATTTTGAAATTGAAAACTATCAGCTGCTCTTTGCTGGCTGAAGACAGCAGGAAAAAATAATATCTTTCCTACATATTCCTAGAACTACTAGCTCTCTCAATTTATGAGCCAGACAGCCTCTCTTCTCAATTGCAAATGTACAACCCCTCTCCACATGTATTTGACCAAATAACGTACTTCAGGCAATTACAGAAGTTCTTACATGGAAAAGTAATTTAATCAGAGTACCTGGGGCACTCAGTGCTGAGTTCATTCCAGCTAAAGCTCGTCATAAAATCCCACTGAATTACACAGCAGAAGAACGTTTGGTTTCTTGAAATGAAAAGACAGAAAATATCCCTCATGACATTATCTCCAGCATCCACAGCTGAACAGACTAATATAGGCTAATGCACAGTGTTCTACTAGAGCAAGCTTCAATATGTCCACAGCAGCACCATAGGTTGCAAGCAGCTTATTGCAGAGCTTCTGTGCTGTTTACCCAGGAGATGCATTCCCAGAAAAGCTGGTTGTCCTCCCTATGAGCCCCCAAACTAACATCCCTGCTCAGTGTACTTGTGAGCGAGACAGGCTGCCCACAGTGCCTCTACAGAGGATATATACCTCCTGCACCAAAAAGCAGCACAAATAGTGCCAAACGCCTAACATGGCGTGAACCAACACTAAACACAAAGTGGATGGATGCAAGTGAAGTTTGGTCTTTGTGTTTCTTGCCATTCTAACTAAAAATGCAGAATGATTTTATTCCAGCCACTTAGGCTACGTTTTTTTAAAAACTTTTTACTCACATCCTAATTGCTAGCAAATTAGTAATAAAGTATAAAATTTAATGAAGCTTTTGATCATCTTGCATCTTTGTATTTACAGCCCTGTCTGGTCCCGGTCTTGTGCGCATGATAGCCATTTGTGTTGAATCAACAATTGTTCACCTGGACAAACTAGAAGAAGTGACCACTGAAGTAGGAAACGTCAATGTGTTGAACCTCATGAGACGGATCATGCTTGACACATCTAACAAGCTCTTTTTAGGGGTCCCTTTGGATGGTACCAACAGCTTTATTTTATATTTCATGTGCATAAACAAGAAATGTTTGTTGACATCACTTAGAGTTATTGTTTCAGAGAACAGAACAAGGACACACTATTACATCCCTAAATGATTTGCTGAAATTGGTAAATAATTCTAATCATGAGAATATTTTTTGGATCAAATAGATCAAACATATATATATGTGTGTATATATACATATGTATATATATATATATATATATACAAAGCTTTTCACATCTAAAGAAGTTTTTATGCTTCAATCCCAACATTATCGCCATGTAAGAATCAAAAACCTTCCCACCAAATGAAATTATTGCAATGAAAATTAACCCAATCTTCTCTCTGATTCTTTCACCCCCAAGTCCATTTGACCAAAATAATATTACCACGATACATAAATTTACACATTTCAACACACTGCAAGAGAGTTCTGCTTCTGTTCTCCCATGGGAGAACATCTCTAGTTGACACACCATCTCCTTTTCCCTATCTACCAAGAGTTTCTACAAAGAAATGTACCTCATCTACAATGTTCTACAATCCCAACAGCATCTACTAAAAAATGTTTATCCTGTCAACTTAGCAGGAGCAGGGCCTCCTTATTAATTTCCCTGAAGCATTTCTGCTGTTTGACTATTGAAGTTTAGATTTTATACTGCTGTTTATTTACATCTATTTTCAGAAAGTGCCATTGTTCTTAAGATTCAGAACTACTTTGATGCTTGGCAAGCTCTTCTATTAAAGCCCGACATATTTTTTAAGATTTCTTGGCTTTGCAAGAAGTATGAAGAGGCAGCGTAAGTATCAACAATTACTACAGATTTGCCTAAGATTCTTACTTTCTAGAAAGATCTTTCTCCAAATCATTCTCTTAGAATGTGAATTGTAAAAATTTCAATGGTGACTGACTGACGGCCACTTTCTACAAACCCAGGAAAGAAAAATGCTATGAAGAGGCTGATCTCAGGGGCCATTTAAAGTCCTTGTCTACACAGTTCTAATTTTCTTATCAAAATAATTCCATAATCCCTCCATCTAATTCTACTTACTGGTGTCTGCAATGTGCATTTTTTTTGGTCAGTGGCTGAGTTTTGAGCTAAAACTTGGTGTTTAATATGACAATGCATTTCAACATTTTTTTTCTTTAAGTAAGGAATAAATAGGTTTTGCCACCTTCCTGTTTGTAAAAGTACAAACTTCCTCTTCTGATTTGATGCTCTGATTTGCTGTTTTATACTGTATATAAAGAGAAGCTTACCAAGCTTGAATTTTAAGTGTATTTACCCCCCTATAAGCACAGTCTTTCTACAAGAACGTGGCCTTCAAATCTGTAACTAATTGAAAATGCAAAATAAAAGCTATTCAATGTCATTTTTCCAAAATCAAAATGCATACTGTTGACAGTATGTCTCATCATATAATTCTAAAAAAAAAAAAAAAAAAACCAACTCTACCATCAAGCTAATATATATTTTTTTATTTCGTTTAGATATATAGAGAGGTTTCAACCCTTCAATTCCAAAAAATAAGATTTCAGTCCAATCTAAGAAGAAATTATTTTATCAGAAATATAAAAACCCTCAGTACTGCTGCTTTTGCAAATTACCATGTAGCCATTCTAAAGAATACTGAAATTCTATCCTTAGATGTTTTCATGGGTATAACCTTCATGTTTCTGAACATTATCTATACTTAATCATACACTAAAAGGTTTCAAATATTAATATATTGGATTTTATCCACTTTCAGCAAAGATTTGAAAGGAGCAATGGAAATCTTAATAGAACAGAAACGACAAAAGCTTTCCTCTGTTGAAAAGTTGGATGAGCACATGGATTTTGCATCCCAGCTGATTTTTGCACAGGTATTGGCAATATACTAAAAGTTTGCCAACTTTGATTTTTCTGTCCATTTTCTTTCAATAGCAATAGAGAATTTACAATTTAGAGATCACATATCAAATTCAGATCATCAAGAAGGGATACAAGTTAGTCAGTTTGAAGGAGTCCCTCAATCAGGTGGCTTAAACAGCATCCTGGTTATTCACACCTTAAACGGCATCCTGAAAACCATTGAGTGACAAGCATCCAGGGATATGCTCTCTCTTTAACCCCCATGTTTTATCTTGATGCATTGCCTTTTACTTGCAAAGGCCCCAAGTACTGTAAATCCTATCTTGCATAATCTCTGACAGCTCACATACTGTGTGGGGAAAGGTAATAAATCAGTAAGAATCTGAGATAAGAACAAAGCCTCACTTTTTCGTAAAATCATATGCACCTATTAAAACATATTTATATCAAAAGAAAAAAGAATCCTTCTTAAAAGATAAGGGATGAGACTTGTGAAAATCAAGATCTTGATTTTCATTTAAATGTATTCTAGGTCCATTCCATACTACTGCTATGGGATGTTTGGCATCAGGTCGGCAGTCAACATTTTCCCCAATTTTTTCCCCAATTTTTCTAGAACAGGGGAGATCTGACTGCTGAGAACGTGAACCAGTGTGTGCTGGAGATGATGATCGCTGCTCCTGACACTCTGTCTGTGACTCTCTTCTTTATGCTAATACTGATTGCAGAGCACCCCACAGTGGAGGAGATGATGATGAGAGAGATTGAAACTGTTATGGGTAAGTAGGGGTTGCAAAGTCAGTGGTGCAGGAATATAATTTTGCTTGTGCAGTGATCTAGTTTCTCACTCAACGTCTGAAAATTCTAAGGATTTTCTTCTAACATAATTGTTTGCTCTAATGTATACGAGCTACCACTTTATGTGGACAAATTTATTCAAGATCAAGAGAAAGATGAACCATTTTTAAGATAAATTCTATCAGGATTCATCAGAATTGAGAATTCTGAGAAAAAAATACTTATCCCATAAAAACAGCAGTATAAATCACCTCAGAAGTTCCAATGAAATTATTTTCAATTTACCTTGCAATAGTAAAAGGGGACACTCATTTCAAATACTTCTAAACATCAATATTTCTCTCACAGAACCGAAGTTTCACTATGACCGCAGAACGGTAACGTTAAAGAAAACTACAATTGTTATATCATTCTGCTGTCATCCATTTTGATCTCAAACTGGTCTCCTCTTTAAATACTAATGATGAACTACTCAAAACAATCAAAATATTTTAAGGTTGTATTCTCCCTTTCTCTAGCCTTCATTCAAAGTTTGAACTCCACCAAACTACATAGAAACTAACTTCATCCAGTCCTGTGGTCAGTTAAGCACTGGCAAGCATATTAAAAATCCTTTCCTCTTTCTCTAAGGTACTTTCAGTCTCAAATACAAAGGAAGGGCTATGATGTTACCTCAAACTTCTTGTCATTGTTTCAGCCTCTTTTTCCTACTTGAGTTAGGAGACTGCCTTTCCCTTTGTCTTCTTAGGGAAATTTTTCTGAATGATCCAAAAGTGTTACAACTGAAGGAAATCCAGGAATATCTGGGAAATCCAAATAGTGAGCCTTCTTGTCACTTTACCGGTTCCTGCAAACACTTTGAATCCTGTTCGGCATAACAGCAGCAAAATCTTCCACCACAACATAGCACAAAGGGTTTTTCTTACTGTACTTGGAATATAGTATCAGAGGTTAGCCTCATATTCATCACTACATACAACTGCTATAAAATCCTTATATATCAGAGTACAACTATCTTGAAGTCCACTAAAACAAACTGTGCTTTGCCAGTGAAGACTGAGGCAAAATGTGTTGAGTACCTCAGCCTTCTCCTTGTCCTGTATTGCTCACTAGGTGGGGGGTGGGTTTCCAAATGGAAAGGATACATGAAATTACACAGAAGCTGATGGGTACTTCCTGCCATTTCAGGAACTGAAAATCTTCCCAAAATATTGTGGAATTTGTATGATGCATCTAATAAATTCATAACCAACTGCTTCACCATTTGTTTTATTCCTGAAGGTGACAGAGATGTACAGAGTGATGACATGCCAAACCTCAAAATTGTGGAGAATTTTATTTATGAGAGCATGAGATACCAGCCAGTTGTGGACTTAATCATGAGAAAAGCTTTGCAAGATGATGTAATTGATGGCTATCCTGTGAAAAAGGGGACAAACATTATTCTTAACATTGGACGTATGCACAAGCTTGAATTCTTCCCAAAACCGAATGAGTTTTCTCTTGAAAACTTTGAGAAGAATGTAAGTTTTCCACCTTATTTCCTACAGGATATTGGATATTATTTGTTGACAATGTATGTTCCTTCTATTTTGATCAAGACCTTTGTGACCAAGGCTGTTTTCCCCTTGACTAACTGCCTATCTAGCCAGGTGTACATCCTGCTTATTACTATTGTTTTAATTAGAGCTAGGTGGGCATTTTTCCATCGAAGTGTCTTATCATTCAAAAATAACATCATTGAAAACAAGAATTTTTGCAGGCATCTCAATTTAAAAATGCCACTGAAGACTGTCCAAGACACACACCTTTACCACCATCTCTGACGCTAGGCAAAAATAGAGAGTCTTTAGGGAGCTACAGCCATGCAAGCAGTACATAAAGATCTGAGGCAGTGCAGGGAATCTCTGGTGAAGTGAAGCAGCACAGTAATTCCCAAGAGACAGACTCTGGCACCCATTTTATGTATTAATAAATACAAACAAACATTAAGTAAAAATACTCATCTTTTATAGACTGAATTGGCAATCCTAAATTTTAATCAGTTCAGTAATGCAAATGCTGGGTAATACTGTCCCAGTGCAACACACCATTTAATCTAAGTTTCACTCCAACTCCCAAAAGGATTTTTTCTATTTGTAACCCCCTACTACTGTAAATTATTCTTGAGATTCTTTCCATTCAGAACTTTGCTCTTCTGATTACTGATCAAATGAATTGTCTACCAAAAATATACTTGTTCAGCAGTAATCATATGGAGAAATTAGAAGTGCACTGAAAAAAGACAGACCAGTTCCATGGCAAATTTGACTCCTTGTTTTTGACTGTTAACAAGTGCAGGTGGAAATGAAAGATGCTGCTATCCAAGAAAGAGAGGACACAAAATATGAAATATTAAGTGCTAGCTAGCACAGCTAGGAGGCAGTTAGCTACATCTCTAGAACAAACAGCCAGCCATGCAAGAATGGAAGGCATTACCAATTTCCCTGTTAAGGGAATCTCAGCTGTGCAATGTTAGCCTTTTTTCACGTATGAACAGATTTTCATGGTATATAAGCATCCTCTTTATATGGTCTAGTGGCCTGTCAGGTATAAAAGTTGTATGGGGCTAAAGCTAAAGGGTTAATCCTTTCTACAGCTGTCATAACTCATTTTGACCAACTGAATAGCAAATCTGAATTCATTTTACTACCAGGCAAAACTTTTTTTTCCCTGAGATGTTAGAAGATGCACACATAAGTGCTCACAACAAGAAACTTCAGTTCTAAAGAAATAAAGAGCCACTGTGATACTTCAGAAATAGTAAAACACATGAAGACAATTAAGAAATGAGGGAGAAAAGGTTATGTATGCTCAAGCCAGAAACATGTAGAAAAATCAGAGATAGAGTAACTGATCAAGTTTACTGAACTACTCAATGTAATTCCATTTTGCCACCCATTGTTTTCATTCTAGACAGTTCTATAAAAATGAATTTCTTGCTTATTTTATAAGCACACTTAGCTTCTAAAAATATTTCCCCTTGACCAAATGTTTAGCCACATATTTTCTAACTGATTTGATGTATGATGTTTGCCACATAATTATTCTAGCAAGCACAATTCTCTCACAATTCTCTAAGCAAGTAGCAATCCACACCATTATTTATAAGATGACATTGTTAGAATCTAAATATTTTTCCATTTTCACAGGCTGCGTGCTTGCCATTGAGCTATACTGCCAGCTGCTGCCCTTGCTTTGTATTATAAGCATTTGTATTTATCTATTGTTTTTGAAAAAGTATGTATCTCAGTTTATTTGAAATGATTTGAACAGGTAAAAAATGAGGGGAAAGGATAATTTCTCTAGAAAATTTAATATGAAGCATCCTTCTGTATTCTAATTCCGGATTCAAAAGGAAATCAAAAGCACACAGCTAACATTCTTTTTAATACATTAATGAAGAAAAAAATTACCTAATTGCTTTTCTTTATTCATACCAAGTGCCTTGGTACATCATAAGCAGTAACATTCATGTTTCAGGGGACTGTTTGGATAGTTGATCTATTCGGTGTTGACAAAGGTAGGAGAAGTTTTCTATGCATTCTTCAGCAGTTCTGGAAATCTTACATTTCACATTTTAGTTGATAGAACAAGAGATAATCATTTTATAAATATTAAAAAAAAAGATTTTCAACATTGCATTTTATGAGAAAATTGCTCATTTCTCAGAATCACATTTTGAAAATGTTCAGAAGTTTTTAAATGTACTTTAGCACATATTAAAGTGAAACCTTCACTCTATTCACAGCCTGTGATAAAATCCCTGTAGTTCTCAGGGGACAAGCAAAATGAAACACGTGGCAGAATTCAACTGCTTCAACTTTACCTTTCCTGCTACCTTTGCATTTGAAAAGGCACAGTTATTTCCTGTATTTATTTCCATGTTTTGGCCTGACTTGTGTGGGAAGACCATTCAGTAACAGCAGCAGCAGTGTGAAGCCAAGACATAGCTTAGAAATAAGGAAGGAAGCAATTTTCCTTAAAAGATTCTTTCCATGCTTCTTCCCTATCCACACTACAGATTTCCAGCATTTTTCTACCTGATTTTATCAAGAAAATTTTGCCTTAAAGTTTATTCCTCATGTTATTCTGCACAGGTTCCATCACGCTATTTCCAGCCATTTGGATTTGGCCCCCGGGGCTGTGTAGGAAAGTTTATTGCCATGGTAATGATGAAAGCAATTCTGGTGACTCTTCTGAGACGGTGCAGAGTGCAGACAATGAAAGGAAGTGGACTTAACAACATCCAGAAAAACAATGACTTATCCATGCACCCAATAGAAAGGCAGCCTCTGCTGGAGATGGTTTTTACACCAAGAAGCCCAGACAAGAATCACAGTGATTAAAGGGGATCAGCATTAACATTACAGGGTGTTCTCAGCCACTTCAAGAAATGCTCTTCATTCCCAGGTAAAGATATAACATAAAACATTTTGTTGCAACTAAACCACTACACCAAGCATCCACTTATTTGCCTGCACAACACAACGTGTTCTGGCCATAAATTCCACTGCAATGCAATAAGTCCAAATTCTCAAAACAGTCCTGTTGTCAGGTGATGCCACACTATACACAGGATTCCTGACTACTTTTTAAACCGTCAAGTTCAGATGAAGTTCAGCCCTGCTTTTCAAACGGCGCAAGGTCAGACATTTGAGGGTCAAAATCACCTGCCTGTTTGTGCTAAATTCTAGGACTCATCCTGGAACTTCGTTTCATCCTCCCACCCCTCCAGTTGGACATAGCAGTACTTGGTGTGAAAGTTCTAATCATCTGTTTTCGAAAACATCTGAAGAATGCTAAATTTGACTTCAAGACTATGAAATGATTTAAAATACAGAAAGCTATCATGCTTAAAAAAAAATACATGTACTAATGTAACTACAGTAGTAGTAGTATGGTACTAATATTGATTTCCTCCAGCCTCAGGTTTAGACTTGGTCCTTTACAGCAGAGCTACGTAACTACCCAAGTTTCTTGCTGCAAATGGAAAATATATGGAAATTTGTAGAGCATAGTTAGATATTTGTTGGCATCTCTACTAGCCTAATGATGAGTCTCTTCTTCGGTCAAGAAGAAAAAGATTTTCTGGGTTTACTGCCAGCATTCTCTGGCAAAGATTTTCCATTTTCAGTAAGCTTCAGTGTCCTTACCACATAAACTAAAGAAAGAGGCTTTCAGGATAAAGTGCCTTGATAAAACTAACTAAGGAACAAAAAGTTTATATTCAGCTTTTCCTCCAAAGTCATTTAAACATTTTTCTGTTTATAGTTTATATACTTGTTTAGAAAACTTAATTACGTTAATTAATCTGGTCCTTTGGACCACTGCTCTCAGGTGCAGGTCCGGCAGACAAAGATTTATTCAAGTAGCATGCAAAAACTACTCACAACCAATAAATAACTGTTTGTTCCAGTCAAGGGTAATGAATTAGGTCAGAATGGAATTGTTGATGGATAAGAGCTGCACATTTAGGTCAAAACAGCATAGAAGTGGTCTACAGGAATTTGAAAACATATATATCAGACTTGAAAGAATGATTTATTGCAGCTAGGTTACTTTTATACCTTCTCCATAGGATTGGCACAGTGCCCCAAAGTGACACCAGAAATACGCAGTCTCTTACAGCCTGTGAATGCAGACAAATCTGTGCATCTGAAGATGCACATAAGTAGAATTTCCATCTTTTTAGTCATTAAGAGGCAAAGTGACATGAACATTTTGAATATCCCATATAACCTCATTCTATATCCTTTGTAGCTTTTAAACTAAGAAATTGAGTCAGCTGGGGAAAAGAAAAGAATCCACTGAACCTTATTTTGCTTGGGAATAACCTATAATTTTACACATTGTGCATCTTCATTTATTTCACACACCAACATTTTGAACAGCAATCATTTACTCTGTGGTTTCTATCTCAGTTATAGGTTCAGAATAAATTTATTCTCAAGGTTGAAAATAATAAACTCCTTAAACAACTTTTATCACTAAAATTTTAAAACAATTACATGAAATCATGTAGATAGTTGAAAAATGCACTCTGCTCTGATTTCTTTAATATATACTGTTAAATTTAAAGGCTGGAATTTCAGACGTGATTACTGTTATTATTCTATGAAAGAAAAGCAGTTTCATTTTTTACTTTTTGTCAGAAAAGGATGCAGAATTATTTTGCATTGTAATTCAGGTGCACTCTTTCTCATATGCTTTGCAGATAGTGATTCTGGTCCTCAAGTTTCTGTAGTACTTATTTTTGCCCGTATTTTGACAATGGGCCCATTAGTTAACCTGAGCTGCTACATAACCTGAGCCCAGTTCTCCATATCTCTTTTATGACTGTCATACAGTGGTCTATTTGCATGAATATTTGCATGACGAGGCCTATTTCACCACATCTTTGAGAATGGTAATTGATGAAACAGCATTTCAAAGCTTGCCATGTGGATATAAACAATTGAAATCTTCTAGATGCATATATGCCATTGTATATAACTAATTTTAAACGGTGTTTTATTACCAGATACTGTAAAAGCATAGGTGACCTTTACAGCTGTATCAAATCTATTATCAAGTGACTATTCCATCGGCGTTCAGTTTATTAACACAGATCAAACCTGAAGACTGTTTAATACATCACTGTGATTATGGGCTGCTCACAGCACATAGATGTAATACATTGTTAGAAAATAAGTGATCATCAAATAAAGTCTGTATGCACACAAACATGCTTTTAATTATGTTTCATCATGCTTTCCTAATCTAAATACAAAATAGATGACAAAAAGGTTTAAATATATGAATGTGTATGAAATCAAACTGATATTAAAATAATATTAAAATACTAGATACAGGGAGCAAATGGCATACACTAGAACTCATGAGAACTCTCCAATGCTACTTCTTCAAAAAAATCTATTCATTTTCAGATACCATGAGACACTCTCAAAAATATTTATCCCGGAATTTTACAAGCGCTAGGAGTGAAAATGAATTTAAACAGGAATAAAGAATTGTCAATTTATTAGATTGTCAACTCTTTGTATTTTCCAACACAGCTGAGTTAATAGATCATTAAATTCCTTTTTAACTTCAAAATAAAAATCCCAATTTAAACAGATTGTATTATTGTCAGATAAAGCAAAGCAATGAAAAAAGAGCCAAATCTGCTCTGATCCATGGATCATAAATGGATCATAAATCCTGCTCTATGACTGAAAGTTGCTGTGACATACTAGTTTTCAAGTGAGTTACTCCCAGTTTGCTAAGAATGCTAGAGCTCAAAATCTCTGTCTACCATTATTCTAAACTTTAATACAAAAAAAAAAAAGCCTGCTTTTATAAGTCCAGTGTTTTCAAACACAGAACTTGAACCTTATAATGTAAGCAAGATCTCAACAATGCTACACCAACCCAGAAATAATAAAATCACAATGAATCAGTGGGTTAAAAAAAAGAACTTACCTTTGCAGAAGTATATTTTGTGAACAACTAGCCACACTTAAATAAAACTACTGCTTTCATAAGGTGAGATGATATTATGCTATTCATATTCATCTATCATTTCGTCAGATATTGATAACTTTAGCAAGGTACAAATACAATTAAAAGATCTACAAGTCAAGATTGCACTGCTAGCAGGGTCCAGCAGATGGCACACACAAAATTTATTTGTGCACCTAGAGCAACTTCACCTGTTAGCAAAGTCCCTCTTGACCTACAAAAGCTAAAAGAGCCAGACTTCCAGCATTGTAATTACTAAATACTGTTAGAGATGGAGTCACTCCAAAGTCACTGAAAATGTATAGCTGGAGACAAATCTAACCACCAATGGACAGACCTTACTAGCATTTTTCTGACTGGTACTGGCATTAGAAAATTATCTTCACATACTGAAACTGTTCTCCCAGTCTACCAAGTGGAATCTATATATAAATATATACACATATTATTTGGCATCGAGGTTGATAGAACCTTAGTAAGTCCCAAAATGATTTCTGAAAAATTGTGAAGGTCTGTTGGGATTTTAAGTATAATTCATTTAAACTTCATTATTTGATGTCTTTCCACTATCTCTCTTTCCCTCAATTTGACATTTTTATATGCTATTTTACTCCGTTGCTTGGTTAATTTAATTTAGTGTGTCTATGGCATTCTTCCACAGCTCATAGTATAACAGGAATCTGTAATGAAATATCAGTTATTGAAGGAAGTTGATTTTTGTGTATTAAGTGATCCTTCAATGAATAATTCAAGTCCTAGTACTTCATGTGGCCTTGCCACACCATCACAAGTAATTATAAGCTCATCAGTCCAAGAACTTCCATAATAACTCTTTATTCTTTAAATAATTGCTGGGCAGAATCAAGACCGGTTAACTCCACAGCAAAGAAAGATAGATTTGATACAACATGCACAAAACCATTAAGATGCCTGATTAGAGATGAAAATACCTCCCATAGGATTTCAGCCGTTTCATTCTTCCTTAGTTCTAGAAGAGCTAATTAGCATCTCACTCAATGCTTTATAAACTTATCCCTACCTTGTAATGACATAGAGATAGAGCTGAATTTCATTCTCCATTTAGCAGCCATTGAAAGATTCTTGGCAAGTAATTACAGATCATAACATCTATATTCAGAAACTTCACCTTCTAACACCTTTAAGCTTATTTGTCCTCAGATTCATTCCAACAAACATCAGAAGAAACTATTATTCAACACTGAAAAATATAACGGAGACATGAGAAGATTATAAATCAGTATTATTATAATATTAAATATGGTGCTAACCGCATTAAGAAAATTGCCACTTACTTCCATTTCAGAAAGCACATTATTAAATTCTGTAAAAGGATTAGATCCAGCTACTGAACAAAAGCAGCTGCAAATCGTGCTTTTTTTTATATATATATTTTGTGTTTGATGGAAAGTGAAATGTTTTCAAATGAAATTTCACTAGCTCAGATGTATAAATAAAAATGAAGCTATACTGATTTCCTCTTCCTCTTTGCATAAAGGATAATGCAAAGAAGTCATATTACAGAAATGTTATCATTCTCTTATATTACTTCACCTAAGGATCCCAGAGCTCTCTGTAAGTATCAATCAAGATTTGAAGGCAGAACTGACTTGGTAAACTCAGGTCCCACAGAGAGGTTATGGTAAGAAAAAAAACAACTAAAAAACAATTAACTGGTTAGCTCAGTAGCTAAATGTCTGAGAGCACCTTAACAGACAACGTTTGGTCAAAACCCCAGGGCACTCGGAGCATAATCCCATTCAAACACCTTTGCCAAGTTGTCAGTATATATGGCCAGAGTCTGCTCTGTATCTGTGACATTCTGTGA